GGCCTGTAGCCAAATCCTCATGAGCAAGTTGTGAACCACAATCATATTTTTTTCTCCTAGAAAAGAGTGACTAACATAGCGAAGTCAACAGGTTAAATATGCGACTTAATCAGCACATTACACCAATAAGAACAAATCAAATGTTTTATAAACCCTGGCAATCTCAAAAGAATGTTGCTCAGTCAGCAAAGTAATGGAACATTCTGCAATGTTACTTGAGTACAGTTGGTAAATATTAAGCCGCTGAAATGTGCAGCCCAGCTAGTCTGGTGGAAAGCCCAAGTAAGCGAAAACATCAACATTTAATTACTGAAATATGCTGCTTGATCCATAAAATATATAAATGCTCAACTTGTCCATTACTGAGCTCACGCAGCAAAGCATGCATCTGGCCCAGTACAAATGAGGAATGTACACGTCTTCTGGAATACATTAGAAAGCAATGATAAATCAGAGCAAATTATTTAATTCAAATCAGGAAAAGAAAGAATTTAAGTTGAAAAACATGAAAATAAGTTGATGAAATATGCTGCAAATATGTTACCTCATTATCAAAACACCAAAACTTGAGACTAGGTACAGACCGCCAAAAAGCCTGAGGCGGAATTGATTCAGTCTTTGCTGGTTAGTTTAAGCTGCAGAGACTAAACTGAGAAGAAAGTGAACGGACATTCACTTTTGATTCAGGAAATACAGCCACATCCCGGAGTGGCTCAGGCCGGAAGCTGGGTGGAGAGGAGGGGGGCTAGATCACACGTCCCAGCCTGCCAGCCACTGCCAAAGGGAAGGGATTGAAGCTCCAAGGCTTTTCCCCCCTATCTTCTTGAGTGGAGGGGGCGTGGCCAGGTCCCAGCCTGGGGCTAGCACACTGAGGCCAGGAGAAGGGGATCTTTAAACCCCACAGCATAGCCCACATGAGACCCCAGCCCAAATCTGCCTGGGCAGGGGGACAGCACCTGCCAGGCTTCTGCTCCCTTCCCCCACTCCCTGTTTGCAGGGGGAGGAGAGAAGTTGCTGCCAGGCTGGCAGGGGCATGGGGTGAGGCAGGAGACTGTCCCCCCAAGGCAAACCCTAGCTGGAATCTGGGGCCAGGTCCTCCCTAACCCCAGCCCTCAGCTAGTGTTTGCCTGGGGCGGCAGTCCCTCTTGGGCTGTTGTCCCCCGCCCTCCCTGCTAAAGCAGAGGGTATGGCCATATGCCAACCCAGGGCCAGTGCACTGAGCAGTGAAAGGGGTTTAATCACCAACCCCCCAGGCCGTGACCCCAGCTGGGGTTTGTCCAGGGGGGCCCCTCCCAAGTTTCCCCCTCAACCCCGTGCAGGCCTGGGTTTGACTTCGTGCCCAGTTCAAGCTGCATACTTAGCTTGAATTGTGGTCAAGACCTGCACCCAGTGAAAGGAGCAGATGGAAAAATATTGTCCCTGACTTACAACAAATCAGGAAGTTGCCTAACTAAATTGAATAAATATAACGTGGGCAAAAGAGGAACAGTAAGAACAAAACCTACCCCTTTTATCTCTACTTTTAGATTTTTGTTTTCCTTCTGTCTCACAGGAAAAAGTAGAGACAACCTTTCAAAACTTCAATGTTTTCCCAAGTACTGATCTTTTCTTAAATCATGGCTTAAGTGTATACTATTATCTGGTTAAGAGAAAAGAGAATTAGGGCTATGCGAAGCTTCGGTGATTCAGAGGAGATTCGGCCCAATTCAGTGGCCGAACCTTAGAATCCGAATTGAATCAAGAGACCAATTAAAAGGCCGCAATCAATTCAAAGCTCTCCGAGTCATTCAGAAAAGATTCTGAGAGCTTCAGCAATTCAGGAAGTCCCCACTCGCCACAGCAGGGAGCTGAACCTAGACTCCATGTTGGTAAGTAGGGGGTGGGAAAGGGGGAGCTGGAGGAACAGGGAGGGGACCATATGGGGGACCCCAGCCAGGGCACATCCCCTGCCTGCTCTCTCAGTTCCCCTAAGCATCCCCCTGACTGGCGACCGCTCTCACAGAGACCTCCTCCCGCATGGCTGCCCCATCCAGCCCCAGCTCCCAGCTCTTTAAAAAAAGAAGCCCCCACTCACCAGCTCATGCCAGGCAGGGCTTTTTTAAGGGCTGGGGCTGGGGAGGGCAGGGCATCAATGTGGGGGGGCTAGGAAAGTGGGCAGTGGTCAGGGGGCTCATGGTATATCCCCCCACATGGCAGGGCAGAGTGGGGGGCAGCAGGGATCGCCTCATTCCCTCCCCCACCCCTGGCAGCTGGTGAGTGCATGCTTTTATTTTGCTTTTTGGGGGGGGGGGGTTTGTTTGTTTTTTTTAAGAGCCAGGAGCTGGGAGAGCAAGTGGGGCAGCCATTGAGAGTGGGGGCGGGGGGGAATCTGTGGTGGCCGAATCTCCAAATCAGATTTGGCCAAATCAATTCAGGATAGTGATTCGAATCGCCAAACCGAATCACTGTCCCCTGAATTGGCTGAGTCTGAATCCGAAGCAAATACTAGCTGCTTCGCACAGGCCTAAACAGAATGTTGAAATAATCTTCCTTACATTTTACCTCTGCATGCTTTGCATTTGTATAGCATCACTTGATGAACATCACTGAATCAATGGACCAACACTCTCTTGTGGCAGGGAAATGTTGTTATTCTCATGTTGAACTTAAGGGCACAGAAAGCTAAACGGCTTAAATCAAGGGCTCACAGCCTGTTAATCTCCCAGTTCTCAAAACTATGAATTAGCATCTAGAGCTGCATGCCTCCTCAGGGATGGAAAGTTCCTGTAAAGTGGCAAAGTTAGAGGAGTTCAGCTAGACAGAAGGAAATTTAAATAACCAGAAAGGAATGCAATCTGATTATTAGTTTAAATCTTATGAAAGATCTCATGCCATCTCCACTTAAGTACAAATTGTTGAACCATCGCTTCTAAAAGAATACAGTTCCATGCCATCTAATCTCATGCAGGGACATGCAGTTACTGATGAAATTAAGATTAGTGAATACTAAGGCCACATAGAGACATTCAGTTTTTCCTGAGATAGTTGCTGCTCTCCAAATAGAAAAGGGAGAGTGTACAGATGTTCAGGATTTTTCTCCCAGAGCAAAAATGGTTGCTCCAGGGGAAAAATAACTTGAGAACAACAAGGGGAAAAAAAAAAAAAAAAAATCACTCAAGAGTTTCTCCTGGGGGAGAGGGCAAATATCTATAGATGATAGAAGCCATAGAACTGTTCTCCAGCATCCTACTTTGCTTCCCCCAATCCTGGGAGACAGTATGCCATTTGCTGGACTCTATTGTTCTGGGAAAGCAGAACATGCACCCTTCACAATCCCCACATTGTTTTGCAGAGAGACACAGGATAATCCTGAGCAGTCTGGGTCAGCCAATCAGAGCTGGCTGTGAAGCATCAATGCTACAAGCTCTCCGCTCTTCAGGGGCTTGGCTTATGAAGAGCAGAGAGCTTGTAGCATTGTCTATTCAGGTGTCTCTGGGTAAGCTTTTCTAACAGGAAAACAAATCCAGGAGAATTCTCCCAAATAATATGAACATCTTTACACAGCCTAAGTCACCAGAACTTGAAGTTGTGACAAAAACTGACCTGGTCTGGGTATATTTAGTTTGTGAGAGGTGAGAGTATAAGGCTTGATGGGAAAGCTTGAAAGTTTGTCATTCAAAAAATCAGTTTGCATTGGTCATGAACATTTCTGATGCTGGTGTGAAACTCTTGGGTTATATGTCTCACAAGATCAGGCTTCTTTGCTCACTTTCTATTATCATGTACTTTCAGTCCGGTTATGGCAGTGATTCTCATCCACAGTGCCAGGGCCATCCTGGGGTGGCACCAGATCCTTTGAAGGGTGCAGTGAGATGCGAGAAGATAAGCAGATAAGCTAAGAAGATAAACCAGGCTCAGGCTTGACCCTGACTAGACAATCCCCCAACCCTACTGCCCAGCCCCTGTGTAAAAATGTAAGCACTGTAGTATATAAATACTATGCAATACGGGCACGCATCTACATGTACATGCCCTTACTGCACAGTAAATATGGTGATTTATGCCAGCTTGAGCATAAATTTGATACCTGCACGATGCCTAATTAGTTACTGTGCAGTAACTCACATACAGACATCTTACTAAGCAATAACACTGTGTATGGACAGATCTGTGCCTGTACTGTGCAGTAATTAGTTACTGTGCAATAAATGCACATGTGTAAACACGCCCACAGAGTAGCTTTCATTATAGTGCTAATAGGATAGGATCAATCCCTTGATACATGAGTGATACTTGTCTGTGCATCATATCAGTAATTATTTGGATTTCATTTGCAAATTAACCTTTTTAAACAGCCAAAAATTCCTTCTATATCCCATCTTTGATATAAAGTGCATTAACACTGTGTGTGGACTGACTTGGGACTCAAGTTAGTCCCAAGTCAGTCCACACACAGCATTAATGCACTTTAAAGCCTGCATGTGTAAACACTGGCCTATCCCTGCTTACTGCATGGTAACTTACTGCACAGTAAATTTAAACTGGCATAAATGCATGAGTAGACACACCCTGTGGCATTACTAAACATACCGATGGATTTCTATTATTTTAGAAAAATATTTGGAGAAATGTAAAGGAATAGTACTGTTAATGGAACAGGAGATCTTTCTGTAGAGGGGAAGTGTAAATGTCACTTTATCTAGAGCCCCAATAAAACTGTATATTCCAGACAGGTCTCCTACCTATAAGAGCCTAAAATAAACATAGCTTTCTTTTACTTCAATTTTAAGCAAGTACAAGTCAGTGAGGTTTTTTGTTTTGTTCCGGGTTTTTTTTTTTTTTTTAGATTTTACATGTACTTCTCAGGAAGGAACCACCTTTCCAAAAGGAAGGAAACATAGAAACTTAACCTGTAACAGTAACATTTTCCAGAATTTTTTTTCTAGATTTGAACACTCATTCTTTAGTATGATATTCAAACACTAAATCAACTTGAGCACACTATACAAAGTGGAAATAGATGAGTTTGGCTGATATGGTTTGTTTATTTATTTTTTGTTTACAGTTTAGTGTACCTGGAGGTAGCTGCAAAATTAATGGAGCTTTTTCCCAATGGCTTAAAAGAATAGTAATTTGAGTGTTAAGACAGAATGCTGAAACAAAAATGAGAATTACAAAATAGCTGTTTAAAGTTAAATCCTTGTTATGTAAAATAAAACAAAAAAAAAATCACAACAGGTTATCTGATGATTGTCAATACAACATAGTGCAGTTTTTCCAGTTGCTTTTTTTTAATATTAGCAAAGCAGTACAGAGGAGAACATGGAAAAGGAATAACTTTGTAAAAGTCAGAAACAAACTAACTGGAAAGCATGCAGAAGTTTCTGAGATAAACAATAGCTACTCAATTAATATTATTTCCTATAAATTTCAGATGCTATCAAAAATCAAGCTTGAGGTGATGATAGAAATACTGATCCTGCAATTTTCAACCTATGGATAGACTTCTGTGCCTTCACAGTGAAACTAGTAGGTTCTGGATTATGGTAGTTTCATTTTGAATTAGAGCAGATATAATATTTTCATACTCAAGACTTCTGCTTTCCCTGCTTCTTTTAAATATAGATAGCTGCCTCACTTGCAGAACTGCTAAATTTAGTCTCTTCACTAGGTAAGTCTGTAGGAGCAAAAGATCTTAATATCACCAGGTTGTAATAATTTCAGAACTAAATCAGAAGAAATGGTTATTTGGTCCACTCAGCAAAGAAGAGCTTACTCTTCTTTGATCATTGATATAGATCATGTGAAAAAAGTTGCTAATCAGAGAACTTAGCTATGGCTTGTTACCAAATTAATTATTTGGCAACACATTTCCATAGGATGTTAAATTTGCATGTGCGCCAGGGAGTGAGGAGTGATACAAATCACACATGCAACAATTCACACAGCAATGAAGTGTAAAAGAAGTTTAAAATAAAGCCTATAAAAATGGCAAGCTACATGTCTCCAAGCTCAGTTGCAGGGCTGATACACATATTGCTGCATATATTGCTGTAGTGTCATGAATACGCACTAAACAGCAGGTCTAAAATATATCAACTTGCAGCCTGTAAGTCTGAACTCTTCCTGAAGTCAGGGCTCAGTCCTGTCAGCTGCAGAGCATTCTGCGACTCATTCATATTAAGTATCTGCTCAAGCACCCTGTTGAGCAGGCCGAGAGTGTTCTGCATTAGGCAGGCTGAGCCCTGTTTTGGGAAAGAAAGTTGCAAAGTAAAAATCAAAATTCTTACTGATCCCTATTAATGTCATAAGGCTTCATAGGCAAAAGGTCACTATAATCTCAGGGCCAAGTCTTACTCATCACAGAGAAGTGATGGTTCCTTTGATGTTAATAAAGAGGATTTAGATTTTATCGTCTAATGCTGCAAGATACCCTAATTTGTAGAATCCACATAGTAAAATTTATACTGAATTTAAAATTGGACCATATTTTCTGCGTTGAGAGCTGTGAATCTACTCTCTAATGCATAAAATGTATTAGGTTGTTTTTTTTTAGTTAAAACGATATAATACTTAATATAAATTTATGAACTTTACATATGAAACTGATCTATAAAATGTTTGAAACTTTACAAAATGGTACTGGAGTAGTCAATAGAAAGGTCTAGTTTAAAATATTTACATTCTTTACACCATTTCCCCCTACTTACAATTATTAAATAATTCCCTGCATGCTGGTTTCCTCAATTATATGAAAAAAATCTTTTAAACTATAAAATAATTTGAATAAATTTTCAAATGGCTCTTCTTCTACCTTTCCTAATTTTAATCAGTATATTAATCACATTTCCAATGTGATATTTCATTTCAATTATAACTGTTTTCAGTAGCAGGTACACACCCCTATTTCAAGAAGTTTTATCATCTTGTTTTGTACGTTACACAATGAAGATTTAATAAAATGGCACAACATGAACAGTAATGTAGAATTTCTTAGATCTTATATCTCTATAAACATTAGGTTTCTGAAATCTGCAGTTTAACCTAATCATCTCTTACTTTCATAGAATCACTCATCCAATTTAGTTTTAGCTTTTTGTGTCATCTTCTTTTGAGAATTTATATCCTGAAGGTGCTTCATAGAGACTGTCTCCATCTGTACTGAAATCATCATCTTCATCAAAATCAGTTAGTATTTTACTTGGTGATTTCTTCCGCCTACTAAAAAAAAAAGATATGGGTACCTATCAATGCAATAATACTGTATAAAACTTACATAGATCTTGTAAGAATAACACAATAGCAGTGAATGCACATGCATATGATTACAGCCTCTGTTTCCTGAGGAAGTCAAAGACTTCCAAATTACCTACGACAGGAGTTTCAAAGTAATCTTAAATTTCTAAACTAACACCTATATGTTTTGTTTTTTCTTTTTCAAATTGTATCTTTATACAAACACAGGGGTGCAGTAAAACCCATGAAATAAATGCATTTACCACACCTCTGCACCTTTACCCATCTTAATTGTATGCTAATCTACTGCAGATGGCATTTTTATTCAAACATCAAAAGCCTTTAAACTGTTTCAAATATCTGTTACTTTACAAACATTCAGAAATGCTCCCTCTCTTCTCCTGCATGACACCTAGGCAAGGTTCAGCCCTGCACTTCAAAGAGATTTTCAATGCATAAAAAAGGTCATGACCATAATAGATTTTTATTTTAATTTCTTGGTAGAGCAGTGTCTGAAACTTTACCTTTGGAAAAGGGAGAGTTCCAGTTCCCCAAAGGAATGCAGCATTTGCTTTTCAACTCAAAGGCCCTCAGATAATGGATTGAAGTATAATGAAATTTACTCAAATAGATGATCTGAATATAAGATCCCCAATAATTAGATTGGATATATGGAAAAACTATAAATTTTCCACCTTCATCCCCCTCCAGTCCCTTCCCTGTCTCCTTACCGTTGGACCCTGCTCTCTCTGAGTATTTGGAAGTATGGGGCACATCTGAAAGCACTTACCTCGGAATAAACTTAATTTACAATATAGTCAAATTACTACACATATCCATAGATTTAGCTCATCCAGAATTGATGCATGTTACCTTTTTTGAAACGATTGCAAGTTTTAGCACAGGTACACCAGAAACATGCTTTTAAGCACTACATTTGTACCTACTTCTATATTAGTCTAAAGCCAAAAGGCTTATGGCTTATCATATAGTTCAGGGGTTGTAAACTGGAGGTATGTCTGGGTGTATGCTCCCCACCTGGTTGTCAATTGGCCACTGGGGGACTCCCCACTTCCTGATCGGCTGCTGGGGGTACACCAACCAAGAGGTTGAAAACCCCCGATTATAGTTCATTGGGCTGGGCCCCAGCAGAGTCAACAGCATATTAAGCCATGATGACCCCACAGCTTAGCATTGCTCAGTATGTGTGTATACTCTATATACCAGGGGTGGGCAATTATTTCGGGTGGAGGGCCCCATACTGAGTTTTGGCAAGTCATCGAGGACTGCATGACAGGTATCCAGGGGCAGATAAATATTAATTTTCTAAATTTTTTAGGAGCCCCACTGGCCGGATAGAATGGGCTGGCAGGCTGCATCTGGCCCATGGGCCGCATTTTGCCCATCCCTGCTATATACCCTCCACCCCACCACAAATGGTCTCATACGTTAATTAGCACCCCTCCCCACACACTTGATTTGAACCAGGTGTTCTTGTCACAAGTCCTGGGATCCTCCAAAAAATTATATACAGATGAGGTCCAGGGCTAACTGGTCCACCTCCACCTTCTGGAGGGCAGGGCCACATTAATCCTATGCAACAGACTATAGGAGGGGGTAACAGAGGGATTCTGGGTGAACTGTCTGGGGCCCCGTTTTGTGATGTTTGCCCGATATTTAAGGTTGGTGAAGAAACAGGAATCACTGGAAATTGGGGAGGAAAGGCATAGCTCAGATATGGGAGTGAAGAGGAAGTCAAATGTATTCAATGTAGTGGCTCACTGTGATTTGAAACAGAGTCAGCGCTGAGGCAGAGTGCATGCAGTGGGCACTAATTTGGATGGGTTGCACTAGGCTATCTTTGTGGTAGGTTCCCATGGCAGACATCACATGGAAGAGAGGGGACTAGCATAGATGGTTCGGAGGTGAGCCCTCTGAAGACATCATTGATAATGACAATGGAAATGACTAATACAACTGATGAGTGAAAGGACTGGGCAAACAGGCAGGAGAATTGGGAAGGGGGAGGAAGAAAGGAGAGAGAGGATATGGAAAAGGGCACTGAGGTAGTCCTTTGCATAACTGTGACAGTTAAAGGTGACAGTGATGGGCATGTGGGTGAATGGGAATGAAAGCACAGTTTTTGTAACAGGAATAAGAATGATGCAACTATAAAGGTATATTTTGGACTGTCAAGAGAACCACAGCAGTCATCAGACAGGTTGGTAGAGGTATAGTTATATATATATTTCCAAAAAAAGAGAACCCAGCATCTCAGTCTTTTGGCAAAGACCAAATGTAGCATTTTTGGCATCAATGGGAAGGTGCCAGGATTGGTTCCAGCCCTCCCAGTGTAAGCTTGCAAGCCTCTAGGCCTGGTGTCAGTTCCCTGCAGAGAGAACATCTGCCCATTTTTTTTTTAAAGGGCCCCACACACACACAAAGTTCTCATCAGCATGCTTGCTCCATATAGTCATACTCCGTATTGGTTCCATTTAATCAACTCCATAGCTGGTTTCCATTGCTGAGCACATGCTGCTTTTGCCATACATGATAGACAATGCATAGACAAAATACAATGATGGAAAATGTATTTAATGAGGTTTACTTGTATGTTATTATAAGATGGGGGGGTATATGGGGGAAAGAAACTTGTCTTGTGTTTGAGGGAATACGGTATTTTTATTCCTGCAAATGTAAAGTTATCTATGTCAGGTTATCAAGTCTCCTATGTTTTGCTGAGCCATGGCCAGTTAAGGATCAGGATAAGGTTCCCCAAGTGACCAGGGAGCAAGCGAGCAAACAGGGACTGCAAAAAAGACAGTTTACACACAGTTCTCAAGTTAGTTCACAAGTCAGTTTGCTGCACCCCTGTTCAAAGAGGAGCCTTTAATGCTAGCTCTTTCTTTAATTAAGAGCAACTAACCTACATAAATTTAGTGTAAGTAATTAAAACTCAGCAGTTAGACCAATACTTAAGGATATTTAACTAGAATCTAGAGCAAGGGAGAATTCACTAAGGAGTTTGGCTGGAAAGTCTCACCTTCCTTCACTTTAAGATTGGTGAGAGGAAGTAGGTTAGTAAGGAAAAGGGAACCTTTTGGGACTAAGGAGCAGTGAACACACTAACTTATGGGGGAGTTTGCTAACAAAGGTTTGCTTAGAAAAAGGGGCAGGAAGAGAGAGACGGCAGATAAAAAGACTTAAAGAAATGGCTGGAGCACGTTGCAGTGCCAGAGCCATTGTCACTGCCAGCTCTATTTTTGCTTGCACCTGTGAGGTGTCTGTCCCAGCAGGATTGCTCACCATTGAGGCTTCCACTCAGGTCCTGGTCTGGTGCTGTGGAGACTGTGTCTTACAGGTTCCTTCCAGTGAGAGCCAGGTGGGGGAGTGTCTGAGATGCAAGTGGTGCCTCCTGGTGGTGTCCCTCAGGGAGCAGGTAAGAGAGCTACAGAAGGAGGTGGCAAGGCTCTGAAGCATCCTCCACCATGAGGACTTCATCAATTCAGTGCTGGAAGACACCTCTAGGACTGCAGTGGAAGGACTGCTAGAGGCAGGGCTAGACAAGGAAAAGTCCTTGGAAAAATCATAAAGCAGGTCCTCAAGGAATCCATTTCTAAGCACGTGGAGGAAAAGAAGGGGATTAGGAACACTCAGCATGGATTCACCAGGGGCAAGTCGTGCCTGACCAACCTGATTGCCTTCTATGATGAGATAACTGGCTCTGTGGATGGAGGAAGAGCAGGAGACATGATGTACCTTGACTTTAGCAAGCTTCTGATATGGTCTCCCACAACATTCTCACAAGCAAACTAAGGAAGTATGATTTGGATGAATGGACTGTAAGGTGGATAGAAATCTGGCTGAATCATCTGGTACAGATGGTAGTAGTCAATGGCCTGATGTCTAGTTGTCATTCAGTATCAACTGGAGTGCACAAAGGATCAGTAGTGAGGCTGGTTTTGTTCAAGATCTTCATCGACGATCTAGAAGATGGGATGGTGTGCACCCTCAGCAAATTTGCAGATGACACCAAGCTGGGGGAGAAGTGAATAAATTGGAGGGTAGGGGTAGGATTCAGAAAGACCTCAACAAATTGGAGGATTGGAACAAAAGAAATCTCCTGAGATTCAGTAAGAACAAGTGCAAAGTCCTGCACTTAGGATGGAAAAATCCCATGCACCAGTGCAGGCTGGGGACTGACTGGCTGCACAGCAGCTCTGCAGAAAAGGACCCAGGGGTTACAGTGGACAATAAGCTGAATATGAGCCAATGGTGTGCCCTTGTTGTGAAGAAGGCTAATGGTATACTGGGCTGCATTAGTAGCAGTGTTGCTAGCGGAGTGAGGCACTATTATTCCCCTCTATTCGGCAGTGGTGAGGCAACATCTGGAGTACGTGTTAAGTTTTGGGCCCCTCAGTACAGAAAGGATGTAGACAAATTGGAGAGAGTCCAGAAGAAATGATTAGGGAGCATGGGCACATGACTTATGAGGAGAGGCTGAGGGGGGGATTTAGTCTGAAGAAGTGAAGACTGAGGGAGATTTAATACCAGCCATCAACTACCTGAAGTGCAGTTACAAAGAGGATGGAGCTAGATTGTTTTCAGTGGTGGCAGAAAGCAGAACAAGGAGCAATGGTCTGAAGTTGCAGCAAGGGAAGTTTAGGTTAGATATTAGGAAGAACTTTCTCACTAGGAGGGTAGTGAAGCACTGGAACAGGCTGGAACCCAGAGAGGTGGTGGAATCTTCATCCTTGGAGGCTTTTAAGACCCAGCTAGACAAAGCCTTGGCTGGGATGATACAATTGGGGATCGTCCTGCTTTGAGCAGGGGGTTGGACTAGATGACCTCCCATGGTCCCTTACATTTCTAATTTTCTACGATTTTATGATTCTAATGAAGACACTGGACATCTCAATTAGAGGATAATGAAGAGTAACCACTACCATTTGAAAAAATGCTTAAAACATGTCTAAAATCGTTTCCTTATGACAAATACAGAATACTGGAAGGGGTATGTGGGATGATCAGCACTGCTAAGTTTTTCAGCCAGCCCTCATTCATGCTGTTAATTCTATAACATGCTATCATTCATCTACGCGCGCACACACGCACAATATTTGTATTATGGTTATACCACGTATGTACCAAGTTTACCAGAGGAAGCATACAAAATTGATCTCATTCTAAATTTCTCTTGATATGACCATATTGTTCTGACTATAATATCCTGCACATGAGTTGATCCCACATCTTTGGGTACAATTTTAAGACAAAACAGTGTTTTCCTTGAATATAAATTAACTATAGATAAGGACCTGGGGCTGTTATTGCCTTTACAAAGTTGCAAAAGAGGACTGAATAACCAAAAGGCCCCAATGGGTTAAATACACTAAAACAATTACAAATAAATCATAGGATCATAGACAAGTAGGGCTGGAAGGAACCTCCAGAGATCCTCTAGTCCAACCCCCTGCCTGAAGCAGAATCATCCCTATCTAAATCATCCCATACAATCCATAATCCAAAGTCTATATAAGACTACTGACAATCCTGACACAACACAGACATAACACCCTAACTTGCCACATGCAAAGCTGGGGAACCATGGCAGCCAATGTCCTGCTTCTGTAAAATGTTGTCAATACATGCTCAAGGGATCCCAGGTAGAGGGCCATGGCCCCCACTACAGAGGAAGGCAAAAACCCCCATAGTCTGTACCAATCTGACCATGGGGTAAAATTCCTTCCTGACTCCAATAAACAAATAAATAAATGGCAGCATCCTCTGCCCCAGAGGTCATTTTCCTAGGCCACCCCATGTTGTTTCCAGCATAAAATTTCATTCATGCCTCTGTACTCAGCTCTCCTCAGTTTCCCGTCAGCTCACCTGTCTTCTGGTTCTGTGGCTCCAGTTGTGACCTATCGCCTGGCCTGCCCCAGAGTGAGTTGGGGATCCAATGCTTCCTAACACCAGTCAGACATCCAAAAGCCTCAATTTGACACAGAGCTCTCAGGGCTTCTTAGTTCCTATCTTTTTGTTGATGGATTAATTCCTGTTTACCTCCCCCAAATGGAGCAGACCATGGAGATCCCTGGGAACTGTGGAGTGAGGTAATGTGCATCACCTAACCATCGTAGCCCAAGCTGAGCCTGTCACTATGACAAAACAGATGACCCTACGTAGCAACATTAAGGCTCAGCCATTGGAGCTGCCACACAGGGTCTTCTGTTCTATCAAAGTGCCAGCAGAACTGATGATCTTGAGTGGTATCCTTAAGGGCCACAATGGTTGGGTGCCACCAGGGTCATATGCTCTACAGACTAATACCGACTGTTCCAATTATAGGCTGAGACCTCCAGTCAAGTGAGATTTTAATGGTTCTTTTAGAGGGAAAAATGTTGCCTTATAACCAGAACAAGATAGTAAATGTTTTTCAAGTCCAGGTAGGAGAAACACCAGAATGCCACTCTCCAAAAAACAGCTGAAGTAAAAAAACACTTTTAAAACTAAACACAGAAGAATAAATCCCTCCTCTACCATGAGTAAGTTCACTTCTAAAGTGAAATACAGCAGCCACTTCCATTTTCTTACAGTACAAGTCTGCCCCCTACTTCAACAGCTCTACTTGGCTCAGAGACTCAGGAAAACTGGGAGGTAAGGGAGGCAGATGCAGTGCCTGGAAGGAGAACAGGGGAGTTTACAGACAAGAAGTCCTGCTGCGGAGTAGCTTCCAGTTCTGCTCCTGTAGCAACTTCTCCCTATGACACATCCTATGTTACCAGTGAACAGTCCCAGCTTACTGGACTGGAGCAGAAGAGATGAGCGTTGGCAGTTGTTTTGTAAATACGGACATGGTTTTGAGAATAAACACACATATGGAACTAGTGTGTTCCAGGATCCTACAACACAATTTAAAACTAAATCTGACAATGAAAAAGATCACTCATGTGTTAAATGTGTGCGAGTCAAGGAAAGCATGTAAGGAGTCAAGAAAAATATAGCTTTCAATGGAAATGTAAACAGGCCTTTAATTTTTTCATTGCTATTTAATTTTCCTCTAGCATGAGTATTCTGTGAGTATCCCACTGATGCATAACAATTAGTGAAGTAGGACTTCCTTGCATTTTAGGGACCTGCTTGTCTTAGAGTCCCACCTTAATTCCTTCTTCATAGCAGTAAGCTGTCCTTGTAATTGATCATTCATGTCTACTTGCTCTTCTAATTCCCTCTGAAGCTTTTTCTTGGCACTTTCCAGTCGGTCTATTTCTTCTTCAGCTTCCTCAACCTGACGTTTCATTGCTTTCAAACGCAAACTCAGCTGAAATATTTAAGCAGCAGCAGATTAGAGTAATATTTTGATACAGTAATGTTATTCTTTCAGCATCCATGTGTCAGGGAATGAAGTCACAGCTTTGTCAAAGTCAGGACATTTCCAGAGCTGTGCTTAAGCAGTATTTGAGAGTCCAAAACATTAGTCTTTGGAAACAGTCAGGTGATGAGAAATGTATTATCAAAGCAGTTTAAAAAAAATCATTCTAAAAAACAAAGATGTGAAGGTTGCTGCCCCAGTAGACACTGGAAAACATCACCTCCTTGTTCACTAACCAGAATACAGATTATTTGAGTTATGTCACTGAAATGTGTCATAGGAAATCCTTAAGGAAGTCACATGACATGGTAATGTACATTACTTCTGCAAATTAGAGCATATCCATTCTTTCAGAAACATGACCGCATTATTTGTAGGAATTTTTTTTAATGACAGGATGAAATATGCTTAATGAAGTTAAAAACAACATTTAGAGCCCTGTTTAGAGCAGTGTACATGTAGAGCATTCAGCTCTATATAAAACACCTTAATTTTCACTAGAGCTTTAGGAGAAACCCAAGACTTCTTTGTTTCCCCCACATATTTCTACCAGGTTCGGGGACACATTGGGATTGGGAATAAGAGACTCTTTCAAAATTGGAGTTCATTAAAAATAAAATAAATCAGCATTTACCTGCATTCTATGTAATCCATGATGATTCATATTAACAGAGATAACATTAGAGACAGTTAACATAGGGGATTGACTGGCAAGTTTGCTTGTGTGCAGGTTCAGACTGGGAAACTAACTGGGGGGAGAGGGGAGTCAGGGTTCTCAAGTTTGGGAGTGTTATTTGGGGAATCCTATTGCTGTTGTTTTTTTAATTTATCGTACACAACTCTGAGTCTTTTGGATAGGGCAGAATATACATCTAAGTAATAACAATAACAATAAAATAAATATAACTTCTTCCCTCTACCTGGTCCTTCTGGTCAGTCAGCGACAGATGTTCATCATCAACTTGCAGCACTAACTCCTTCACTTTCCTTTCAAGTCTGCGATTGCTGAGCTGCAGATTAGCCCGATCCCTAAAAAGAATCCAGATACACACAAATGGTAGCTGGGATCATTCCAGATCCTTCTGAGCCTGTTCTTGTGATATTCAAGTGTATAATAAATACCAATGGCATCTACTTCGATGTACTGAGACAGTGCAACAGACTAAAGTTTTGTTCAAAAGCAAGACACACTCAGGAAAATACATATTTATTTTTCCCCAGAGTGACATTCAGAAAGTTGAAAAGGTATGAAACACTTCTGACTGCAAATCAAACATGAAAGTAATCTGCAAACTGAAATGTTTTTTTATAGCTGGCATTCCTGTGGACTGCTGCTGATAGTTGCACTGATTAAAACAAAAGATACCTTACACTGTCAGGTTGGCATCCCAGTGTAAGAGTTAATGCAATGATATCCAGTTTTATTTTGTATTGATTTAGCAATCAGAGACAGCATCAGAAATGTCCGCTTTAAAACCAAATTTATGTTACATAAATTCAGTACTTGTGAAAAGTTTTGAATTGAGTGGGCCTGAAAACTATGTACATATTAGCATGATGCCACACATGCATGCAGACACCTCCCTTTTGGTTCCTGTTTTACCTCTCTTCATTTTCAAGTCTCTCTTCTAGCTCCAGGATCCTCGCTTCCATCTGAACAACAAGCCCTTCCTTGCTGGACCGATAAGAGCCTTCAAGGTGAAGGATTCGGCTTTTCAAATCTTTGTTCTAGAATTAGAGCACACCTGGTTACTGCATATCAGCAGATTAACAAACACAAGCACTACATTAATAATAAATGAGTCCTCTTAGAGGCACAGAGGTGGTAAGATGCTTTTATAGTTAAATAAGCAAAACATTTTTCAAGTAATAAACCAAAAACCCCCCAAAAATCAGCCAGTAAAATATTTGTTGGGCTGGCTAGGCCATAGCAAATCCAGCCTCTCTTGCTGGATTTCATTTAGTGACTTACTTTTTTTTTTTTTTTTTTTTTTTTT